TTCATTTTTTGTTTGTCTCCTTTTCAGCTGTCAGCAAGAATTTAAGTCAGCTTGCTGCTGGAATGCTGAGCTTGATGGAACATTTGGCAGAATTGGCCAATGTATATATTGGGAGAGCTATGATAAAGCTTACATTTTCCTACACTGTCCCTTTCTCTTGCCTCTAAATTCCCCTAGTGTTTCTGCTTTAAGAAGCAAAAGCACGATATAGCTTTTATTTTGTTTTCTGTACTAAAATGTCACCAATCTATTAATGATTGAAGACATTTGATTAAAAAAACAACATACTCATCCACTAAATCTTCTTTTCTCTGACAAAGTTTGAGCCATTTTGCTAAAGTTCTTTAAGCTGATTTGTTCTTTCAATGTAGAACTCTGGTTTATCTATCCTCGAGGGATTTGATACAGTCTGGGGCTATTATAATTGGTTTGTCAACAATAGCAGTGTGGTGATTCCAAGCATTAGGGATTAACACAGAAACTGTCAATTATCTTTTAACCACATCAAACTCAAATGGATTGCTGATTTGTGTCAGTGTTTGCGATTGCTGAGCATGCGTGTTCTGTACATTGAAAAAATCTGCTATTTTAGTGAACCTTACATACATTATAGCATCACTCATTAAATATTTTAATAGGATGTAGAATTAAAAAAAAAAAAACAATAACGTGGAAGAAAATTGGAGCAAATGTTAGATGGCAGCAACTAATGCAGCTTGCCTTATTTCCTTTTTTATTAAAATAAAAAAACAGCTATTGTTCAACTTTTTTTGATAGCAAACTTTTTCCACAAGAAATCACTGATCCGAACAGAAATTGATTAGCCTAAATGTTCATTAGAGTACATACAAACTAAAAGATTAGTCATGCTTAGCTGCTTAAAATCAGAAGCTCTCATAGTAGAGTAGATTAGAAATAACTCTGGGTAAGAAAAAGGAGACAGCTGCCTGTTGGATGAAGTCCCAACCATTAATTTTGTTCTGCCTTTGGCACTTTTAGCATAAAAGCAGTGAGGAACACAAAGGGGTGCGGGAGTCCCATGTCTAGTTCAGTGCCCAGAGGGTAGGTTCATCACTATATTTGGTAATGTTTTGTGCCATATAGAAGATAAGGTCCGAACAGAATGCACTCTAATAATGAAAAAATTGATAGGTTTCTTTTTAAAGCTTTTATAAAGATGATGCTGTGCTAGTTCATGGAGGAGAGTCCTACTACTAAGCTAATGAGACTTGCTCGTGCAATTATGCGCATACATTCTCCTCCCTGGTTTACTTTGTGTATCCTGTGTAAGTCTGAAGCAATCTACAACAATATGTCAATGATATAACTGGTAACTGTTTTGTAAGATGATGGTGTTTTGCTGTTTGACAGGTAAACTAGAGGCAGCGGGGCACTGAGGCTCCCTCGCTCATCATAAAATTGCAGGAGGATCTTTGTGGGTGTGCTGTTTCCCAGATGCTGTTTTATTTTCTTCCCAGAAGAGATTAACTAACCAAAACCTTTATATATAGAGGCACCAGAGAGCTGCTCAGGATAGTGTGGTTGCCCATGGCAACAATATCAGTGCTTACCAAGACAAACAGAGAAATACAATATTCTGTTGGAATAATGGGAAACACAGACACTCCAAATCTGCAGTGAGCGTCGCCGTGCTGAAGATTTCTCATTTCTTGTACATTGAGATAAGAAAGTATGGGCATCTGATATGGATGTGTTGTTGTGATGTTTCTTTTTTTTTAAGCATCTTTTTGTATATAGTGAAAGGCGGCAGTGAATTCTTCCCAGGCAGTGTAAAATAACAAAATCAACATGTTTGACTCAGAAAATATCAGTTAACAGCAGCACAAAATAGAGTATTCTGGGTAGCCACATGCTCCAAAGCTTTCACATTTTCAGTGACATTTAAATAGCAGTGCACAATGCAAACAGTAGTTTGGAGCATGTTGTGCTGCACTGCTATATTGACCTAGGCCTCAGAGCCTTTTTGTTGGTTACAGAAGTCAAGCAGGGGGCAGATGTTCTCTGAAACAAAAGGCAGTGTCGACGTGCCATCAACAGGATGGAGGCAGTCTCTGACAGAGGAGCAGGGGAAGAAAGCCTTTAATCAGAGAGGTTCCTCTCTGTCTGAGCCACTTTTCTGCACATCTCCAGCCTCCTCCCAGGAGATGGTCATCCCTGTTCCCCAGCAGATCTCATATCCAAACAGATTCACAGTAGCAGTCTGTCTGCATAAGTGTCTGCTTAATATGAAAGCGTTTTACAAAGTATCTGTTAAGCATAATCATTATTTTTGTTCACCTTTGAGAGCATTCAACAAACACAGACAAGAATTGCAAGATATTGTTTTCATTCTCTTTACACTTCATATGCGAATTGGCTTGTTATATAATCATGACAATGTGATTGCTTGAAGTGCCTTTAGATGTGTGTTTTTACACGGCAGAAACTACATGTTGTTCATATATATTGAATACTCACATTCAGTCACAGCGAAGCGGCGACATCAGATGAGAACAATGTGATTTTTCATAGATGATGACATATGTAAGGGGACATTGAAATTATTATGGCTTTTTCGACCTGAGGTCATTTTCCTTGTCTCTTACCCAGTGCATGATGGGAAAGCTGTAAAAACCTGAAAGGGATTTCACAGTTTGTTCTTCTAGCATCCAGCACATAAACATCACTCGCAGCCACGTGCAAACAAAGTTCCTGCCAAACCACACTTGTCAAGAAATAAAGTGCTGAGGACCTCATGAAAAAGTGCGTGTGCTGTATACTGAATGCATGATGGCAAACATGTAATGGTGGATTGCGGTTTCATATGGTCCACTCTCATGGAGATTGTCAATGTTAATTTACAAACTGACTTGAGTGTTTGTGTAAATATGTATTTCTTACACGTAGCATTGTCTATAACGGATTGTCACTCCCAACATTTCAGTAAAATGACTCTTTGCAACCAGCTTGTTTTCAGAGAGATGGAAATGAAAGTGAAATACTTTGATAAAGTGACCACACTGTTCATGCAGTTTTTATGAAGTACTGAAAAGTGATCTTTTCCACATTTCTCAGACAGTGCAATTAAACACCCCGACTGTAGCATCTGTTCATCTTGATGACGATATGAAGACTTATGCACAAGTCTGGAGAACTGTGCAGCTATCAGCCATTTTAAATCATAAAAAAGATGTTGGATAAGGTAAAATGTGGGTTGTTTATGTAACAAACTGAGAGATTCTTTTATTTTTTTTATTTTTGGTGTTAAAAGATTATTGTTGTCTTTTTCTCGCTAGCAAGACAAATCTAAACACACAAAAAAAAGATCAATGATTCTGTATTTAACTGAGATTAAAGTAATCCTGCATTTGCTAATTTCTAATTCTAATCGTCCTTGTTCTAACTCTTGGGTAACCTGTTCATGAATTGTGTAGCATGCCTTACCTACTTGGCTCTTGATTACTTAGTCCGATGTGACCCAGCAGGAATTATTTATTAATGCTTGATGAGGAAGATCAGTTTCACTGTTCACCAGTTGGTTGAACCGTCTCAGTCTTTCTGTTGAACAGGAATGCTGCGGATACGAGGCATAATGCACCTCCCGTCTGCAGACAGAGGAAATCAAAGATCATAATGTCAGAGACATTTCTGTTAATTCAGAGAGGTTGGGGCTGACAGATAGAGGATGGGTTTTTCGGATCAGTTTGAATGTTCAGAAATATGTCTGAAAGGCACAGCACCTGAAACTGTAAGTACAATATATTATATTATGTTGTACATCTTGAGAGAAATGTCAACTGTTGGTATTAAAAGCGTAAACTTTAAAGTTAAGGAAAAGTAGGATATTTTTTTCATCGTCAAGGGTTAGTTTGCTGTTTAGAATAATACTAATATGTTTAAAAAACGGAAAGTCAAAAGCTCCCTGCTTTAGTAAAGCAGTTGGTTGGATTAACATAGCTCCGATGTCAGAGAAGATCATTTGAGCTGCGGGAAATGTTCTAAATATACAACATCGAAGCCTCTACCCAGTTAATGTACTGTTGGTCAAATAAATCCATATCCATGTGGAAACAATAATATCGCCCAAACACGCATTGGGAAATAAATCAGGTTGCTTCCTGTGTTCATAGGCCTTAAAATGCCATGCACAAAAGAAAGTTGGCGTCATTATAACAGTGCTAATGTCTTTCATACATTATTGATGACTTAATGCATCTATTTGCTCTTTTGAGATTTTTCTATTGCTCTTGGTTTTTTAAGGTACGGTCATATCCTCGGATAGTTTACCAATGAACTACACAGAAAAAAATTGCTGCAATGCTTCATAAAATCTTTTCAGCTTGCTGGCGAATTGGCCAGATTTGGTTCACATCTGATTGGTTACATGCATGAGTCCAAACAAACAGACTCTCATGCAGATATTCGAGAATGATGCTCAAAAATGATCATCAACTGTACTGTAACTGGGGAAACATTTAGAGGCAAAGAAAGAGGGGCTTTGAATAATGAATGCCGAGAGCCCCGTTACACAGCAGACAATCCTTTGAAGTGACATAACTTGCTGCCACTGCTTTCATAGCATCGCCTGTGTGCAGACACAAAGATAAAGATAAAGGGAACAAAAGGCAGGATGGGGGGGTGGGCATGAAGACATGAGAATGTTTTAACCAATCACAGCATTCCAGAATAGCTTCACCCTTCTAACTTGTGGTGAAATGTTTTTGCCCAACAGTGAGATAAATCAGAAAAACAACTGAACCCAAGATTTAGACAGTTGCTGTCTTTTAAACAACGGGCCACAATAAGCTGGGTTTTTCTTGTTTTTGTTTTGTGGTTGACAGCTCTGATTATATTATACTAAAAATTGTTTATCAGTACATCTTGGCAGGATGAAACCCAGTAGTTTATCAAAAGAATTCCTTGGAGCTCCATCCCTAAACAATGTGCTGACATGTAGAAATAAAACTAATTTCATGCCTCTTAAAGCACAAGAGTGAGGCATGGCAACTCCGCCTGTGAGTCTAGCTTATGTAATTAATATGATTTGTATTCACTGAGTTAGCTGCGCCGATGGAACATTGTTTATCACGCTGGAATTGGAAAATCACTTATCACTTGATTTGAATTGCTTCATATCAGTGCACTTTATTTATAGCTACAGTAATTCAAATATCTCTTGGGCAAATATCATTTTGAAGTTGTTCTTTTGTATATGACCCTGTACTTTGATAAAGCGTGAAAGACCTATGCTTTATTCCTCTCTGCGTTCTGCGTCTGCAGCCACAGGACCAAATCCTCGGGCTGGCCGCCCCCCTCAGGGACCTGGAGTGCTGGACAGGGACCCCCAAATGGATGGGACATGAGCACCAATAGAGAGGGGCGTGACTGCTACATCAAGTAAGTGCCCTGTGTTTAATGACACTGAGGGGGAGCTCTCTCCATCCCAGATGTTTCAGATACTCTGCCAACCTGTGATTATTCCAGCCACGTCACTGCCTCCATTGGAGCATTCAGAATACTGATTTTCTGCTCCCTCCATTGCTGCGCACACTCTGCCCCTGCTGACTCCCTCTCTCTCTCTCTCACGCTCTCATACACCCACAATACTCCTCATGCAGTCTCCCAAATGCAGAAAAGGACTTTAAGAGAGTGAGAGTTTGTGTGTGTCTATGTGCACCGCTGTGGCCGACAGAATTCACCTGCACAGGGACTGGTATTTTACAAAGAGACTACCTTCCTTAGAGGATGCTTCTTTTTTTTTGCGGTCATCCTAATTGATCTTTCGTAAGAGGTTCTTCTGGAGAGTTGTGCAGGCAAGTAAAAAAAACAACTAAACTGCTTCTTTTTATGTTTGTGTGCTTAGCAGTGTAGGAAGGGAATATTTGCTTTAACTGATGTGTTGATGTTCTTTCTTTCCTCACTCTAAATTTGGAAAATCTAGTGTACTAGTAAGTGTTGCAGTGCCAGCTGTGTCTGTCAAATATTTGCTGCTGTCATGGTTTCACAAGCTTGATAATTATTTTTAATTATACCTTTGAATGCATCCTGAATCTAAAACTACCGCAGTCAGGTACATTTTATTACAAGCAGATTATTTGACTGTTGCACAGAGCAGGAGAGGCGTACTTGTCACACGAGGGTTGTAGCATGAGAAGCGTGATGTCAGAGGAATTATATAAGAAGTAAGAAGTAAGGAGCAGTGAAAGTGCTGGATGCAGAGTGTCTGCATGAGGCAGATCATGGAGGTTTTGCGGCTCCAGCTTTTTTCCCTCTAAATTGGAAAAAGACTCATGAATAATCAAATGTCTCTTCCTGTAACTGTCTGTGGCTATCTAAATTTGTGCTGTTTTGGCTCCAGGGGGCTGAAACTGAATTGCAGTGTTTCTCAGTGGAACACATGCCTTGTCTGCGTGACAAAAGCGCATAAATAAAGCAGCAGGCATTTAATATTTACAGGTTGACAAACAGGTCTTCAGAAATTTCACTGTACACCATAGACCATTGTTAAAAAAAAGAAAGAAAAGAGTATAGGCTGATATCAGACAAATGGTAAATGGAACTGAAAGGTCCTCTAAGTTTGAGACGGCTGTAAATGTTCTTTTTTCTCCATGTACACCTTACTATGATGTGAACAAAAAGGCCATGACTTTAACTGAATTTATGAAAGTATTTACAACATTTAGAGGGATTTGTGAGGCTTAAATCTTTTCCCAAGGGGAACAAATATAACCTTGCCGGCGCCACCATATTATGAACTTCATCAAAGCAGGCTTTTGGAACAAGAGCAACAGGATATTGGTTTTGATAATAGGCTTACTCTACATTATCCAAAACATGCTGCTAGAAAACATTTGCAAATACGCTTTGTACAATGACAATCAGGCCAGCATTTCTTGCTGCCTGTTGTTGTCCATCCCGTTCCCTGTAAAGCTCCCCACATGTCGTGTGATTTCTATGTTGAGAGTTGTGGAGCACTACACAAGCATCTAATGGGTATTATTAGGAGGAGCGTTAGATGCATAGCTGTCTGCATAATGGGAATCTAGCCATGTTTAGCAGGTGGCCTTGCAGGGAAGGGAACAGTATTCTTCCTGAATGCACAAGTCCATATGGTTTTGATTTGTGCACAATCTGTTTAGTTTGTTATTCTCAAGCAAAAAAAAAAAAGACAAATAAACTGGACGTCACTAAAGTCTCAGAAAAAGAGATACATTGCAGCATGCAGTGACTGTCATTGTGAAAACTGAAAATTAAGCATGGTGTTTACTTTGTATGAAATAGATTCATTATTTTCCACTGAGGATGTAAAAGGATACAATGTAATTTCAACAAAATAACACATTAATTTAACAGTCCCTTTGGTCAAAAGATTTGACCAGTTATTTAAATGCATCACCTAATTTAACACATGGTGGGCTTTGGATTCTTGGCTGGAAACTGGAGGTTATATGTTGCTGGAAATGCTTACACTTGCTTTCTGTTAATGAATTGTTAAAAGACATGTATTTAAGAAAGCCAGACAGGTGGCAGCACAGACAGGTAACTGCACATCTGCCTTCAAAAGATTGTGGACTATACTTCGAAATAATTTGGTACTTGCTGTAAAACTTACAGAATGGTTGTTTTTGGTATTATAATCGAACGTAAACATTTTTTTTGCGCTGAGGTTGATGGATTTCAATGCAATAATGCTAAAATGTGGTAAAGACCAGTAGTTTACTTTATAGTAAAGGGTATTTTGAACTGGTATCAATTTTTTTGCCTTGCTATATCTGAATATCCTTATTTTGTCAAAACTGTCAAAACTGTTTACCTAATACATTCATACATATTACACAGTCCACTTTAAATTGACAGACACACGTGGTTTTGCAGGTTTGTGAGGAAATATGTTTCTGGTAAAGGTCTTGCTCATTCCAGCAACAAAACAAAAACAAATTGGATGTATGCATGGCTCCATATTGACAGAATCAAGTTACCAGTCTCGCCAACATGAAACTCTAGATCAACCAAGAGTTGGGAAAAAAGTTTGGTTCTAAAATTCTTTAGTTCCCAGAAAATTAAATATCATTCTTATGTATGTATGAATGAGATAATGAAGTAGCATTTGTCAATACATTTAGAAAAGCAGATTTGTTGTCAATCTGGTCCATGGATTACTTTAAGCAATGTAATGTTAACAGAGGATATTTAATGGAGCCTTTTAAAATTAGTCATACATTAAAACTTATCTTGAGTAGCACATTGCTTTTGAGGCATTTTTAAAAAAAGAATTTGCATAAGAAGAAATACTGATCTACCCACAGCATGCAAGCATCTGTGTGCCAGCAAGCTGAATTTCGCAAATCATTCACTGAATTCCTTGAAAAGAACAGGTCTTTCTCCGTACAAGATGGACTATCTTTTCAGCTGAGGTTTATCAGATAAAGAGAGAGAGAGAGGAGGGATAAAAGCATTGTAGTTTGTAGACCTAGCCAGCTGGATTTATGTCAAGTATTTTAATCGTAGTGGATTGTGTTGTTATCATGTAGTGATAGCAAATATACAGTTTGTGGCATATACAATGTTTTTGTTTTGGTTATCATAGTTTGCTTTCAAATTACATGATGAGATTTGTGAAGCTTGTATGCAAAACAGCTTGTTGGCTTTCCCATGAAGCAATTGGAGGGCACCATATGGCTCTTGTAAAGCATTTTTGCACTTTGACTTTGTATTTAGAGTTACATTTGAGTAATGGTAGTTTAAAGGCTTTCAGTGTAAGGAATATATATGTTTTATCATCACTTTTACACAGTTAGAGGCCTGTTAAAAACTGTTTAGAACAGTTTTATTGGCTAGCAATGTTCTCTATATGTTAGTTAGTATGTTGGAACTGAACATTTGTTTAATATTGTGTTTAGCATCTACTTTCAAAATCCAAATGATAATCACTTAACATCTTTGAACTTGTTAGCCTTTTGTGTCAGGTTTTCATGGTAATGTGAACGCGAGCGACAGATCTCACTGTGCCTTTGTGCCATGAAAGATTAATTGTTGGTATTTAGCAGTGAATAGAACATTTGTCAAGAATAACTGTGAATTACACTGTGTCTGCCCACGGCTTTAATTAACCAACATTGTTGGCACCATACGGAGCTGCTGCCGCCGCTGCTGCCTTCACAGCCGAAGGGAAGTGAGGAAACATTGTGAAAACTCAGTTCACACAATATGTGAAAGTTGAATTTTATCTGTGCTTAAATTCAGAGTTCTAAATGGTTAAACAGATTGAAATCTTCAACCGTTCATGTTTGTTTAAGTTTTCTTTTGCCAGGTTTTTAGAAAATGTGTCCTTGTCTGCCATGAGGAACAAGGAGATCGCAAATCCGAGTCAATCAATGATGAACACTTCATACCTGTCCTTCCCCTAATTTGATGTTTTGCGTGTATTATTCAGTTGATTAACCTTAACTGCTTTTCTTAACAGTGGTTTCTCTGCCTTTGGTGGATTAGCATATATTAAATTTGGTTTTGTTTTTTACAATTAAACAAAATGATACTGAAATCACCTTATGTCAAGACTAGAGTCTCCATTTTCCACATGACTATTTCCTAAACAAAAAAAACAACCCTGCATTTATCTCTTTATCATGTTTATCAGTCCAGATATTAGATTCACAACATCCAATTGCAAAGAGCGACTGTGTCCAAGTTGCTAAAGCATATTTTACTGTATTTATATGTTAGTTTCACTTGACCACATATAATATTCTATATGTTGTCACAAAAATAAGCAGGACATATTCTCTTTGCCATTCCATCAGCCACTCACAGAGCAGCTCTCTGGAGGAAGTTCGCCTGGACGTTGACAAGTTTGTGCCACCGGCGCCCCGGAAGGTGGAGATGAGGCGGGACCCTGTTCTTGGCTTTGGATTTGTGGCAGGCAGTGAGAAACCTGTGGTGGTCCGTTCCGTCACACCAGGTCAGGTGACCCAGCAGCCTCCTTAGCTCTACAAAAGTGACTCATTCAATCCACAGCTATTACCGTTTCAGTGAGAGATAAAAATCCACCTTGAATGTAGCTAAGAGGGAATAACCCTGTGAGGCCGTAGATTATATGGATGATTCACTGATTTCAACAGCCCTCGATGAGTAAGCGTTTATTCGAGCTTTGAGCCACAAAGCGGGAAACGAAGAAAATCAAGGGACAGACTGAGGCTGTGCACAATATGCATGCGTGAAGAGTGGTTTGTTTTGTTTTGGCAGGGGGTCCATCAGAAAGCAAACTGGTTCCAGGGGACGAGATCGTCATGATTAATGATGAGCCGGTCAGCTCAGCGCCCAGGGAGAGAGTTATTGACCTTGTCAGGTGAGACAGTTTGATGATGTTAAACCTGTTCTCGATGACAACCATGAAAAGTGACCATTTACAGCCAAGTCCAATTTCATCCAGTGTTGAATGACCTAGGGAGATATATGTTTTATGCCTAAATTTTAATACTTGGCCTCATTCGTTGCCAAATTCAGTTTGATTCATTAAATTCTGGAGTACTACCGTATAAAACTGACACAGTTTTATGGCCACCTGTTCCATTCACTGTCATTTAGCTGTTTAGATGTTGTTGATGTGTTCTCAAGCATCTCATTAGATTAATTTCACAGACACAGCGGAGTGGCTGGCTGTGAGCGGCTGGTCCTCGTATGACCTGCACGGCAATCCGTAAACAGTACGGGAAAAGTGCCCATGTTGCCACTCCTTCTCAGCTCTCATGGCCTTGAATGGGCTCTGTTTCTGCATCGGATGCTCATCACTACAGAGCAGAAATGGGTTGCCAGGAGCTCCAGTGGAACACAGTGTTCCTTCTGCTACCGTACACCCTGACATGTCAATCTGCGTCCACTAAATGCTGTTATTTTTACTTTTCTATTAAGTCCATTATTCATCATTACTAATTAGAACTATAATCTTTCCCTTTCATTTTTTGTGTATCCTGCAGGAGCTGCAAAGAGTCCATATTACTGACCGTTGTTCAGCCGTATCCTGTGAGTTTCTCCTCAGTAAATAAAATCGAGCAAATTCCAATAGACTGCTTCTGCATTTGGGGATGATTATTTTGTTTACTCTATGAAAGAATGTAATTAACCATTCCATATGTTTGCACTGGCACAGCTTCAGTTATTCCTTAGCTCCATGCGTAACTCAAAGGAGGAACAACTGCTTAAGCTTTTCTGAGTTTTCTTATATTTAAAGGAGTTATGTCGTCACAAGACCTTGCATGATCCCTCCACATCAACATTTCCTCGAGTCACAGAGCACCAGATGGTGGTGAATGCACAGTGCCAGGAGCACACACTCTGTGAGGCCTTTGTTTGCACTTCACATAATAAGTCAGTGGAAATGGAATTATGCTTGAATTCCCTCCAAAAATAGACAAACACATCAATGTGTGCTAACAGAATAGAAAATCTAGTCCATGCTATTCCTTCCGTGGAAGGAAACTCCTGAAAATATGTGATAACCCTTATCACTGTGTGATTAATTTAGCTGGTTTATACCAGCCAACAATAGTAATAGCTTTTATTTATATGTTTTGTTTAGTGGAATTGTTTCACACTTTCTGCAAGATGAATATCACATGAAGCGGCCACCCAGTAAAAACATGAACAGATACAGGAGGTACAGAAATACAGAGGCATTTTCCTGAACCAAGCATTTACAATCCAGCCTGCAATTACTTCTGTTAATGGGGAGTTTCTATTCACGCTCAGTGATATAACGGCAGGAGGATTTCCACTCTCCTCAGAATGCCACCTTAATTGCATCAGCACAAAGTGGAGAAAGCGGAGGCTTGAGACAGGTTTCAATAGAGAAATCTGTCCTTGAGTTGCAGGGTTGAAAAAACGAAACAAACAAAAACAAATGTGCACATCCGTGAAAAAGCTCATATTCATTTATGTCTTCGACCTCTCTTTTTCTCCCTCTTAAAGTCACCAAAATCAGCATTCATCAGCGCAGCAAAGAAGGCCAAGTTAAAGACGAATCCTGTTAAAGTCCGCTTCGCTGAAGAGGTCATCATCAATGGACAGGTCCCAGTAAGTGGACACCCATTCAGTATGACTAGACCAATTTAGTCTGTGCAGCATAGAAAGCAACTGAACCGATGACAGTGCAGGGCTTGTATCTGTAAAAGTGGAGGCAGCAAAGAGAAGACATGCTCAACCAACATGGCATCTTTGCAGTTTGTCTCTTTTTCTATTTCAATGGTATATTCAAAGAACAACGTGTAACACCAAAATAAAAAAAGCAGAACCACTAGAAAAGAGCTTCCTGAAATTGCAGGATGACTCAGAAAGAATTGAAAAACAGGTTCTTGAGACAGCAACTTTTAAAAAATTGATTTATTTGTGAAGAGAGCAAGAGAGAGCACTGGTTTTTGTTTCTTGTCTGAGTTTGATGGTCGTTTAAATGAAAAATTATATACTAAAACAAAATTGTTGTTATATTGCAATTTGTTGCTGTGAGTCCACGACTCAGGAGGGATGAGCTAAATGGTTCTCATGTCATGTGAGTGGAGATGCTTACTCCAGAACAGTCTAAAGATATTTAGCATTTAGGCCTGACTATTATAAATTTCTTTTGTTTATCTTTACTACCTCATCTGTTACAACTATTGACTCAAGCAGAAGGAATGACATATGTAAATGTTTTTTAAATTTGTATTTAGTTTTTATTGAATTATTTTCTAATCATATTATGCAGAAGAGTAAATAAATGGCTTTAGAAACACTACAAATTGGTAATTCATTTCTTCTTCTATGTTTAGGAAACAGTGAAGGACAACTCCCTCCTTTTCATGCCAAATGTTCTGAAGGTGTACCTGGAGAACGGGCAGACTAAATCATTTAAATTTGACTGCAACACATCCATTAAGGTAGGTGCTGGGAAGAATATCCTTTCACTGTGAAATGCTGTTATGTAATCTAAAGGGACTTAAGGAGGAGTGCCATCCCTCTATATGACTTTCAGGCCTTCATCTAAACTGAAAATGATTAATCAAACAAAAAGACACTGGAGTAGATTTAACTGTGGTGCAAAGGAAAAGAGAACCTTTAAGAACTTTAAGATTATTTACAGGAAAATGTGCACGCTTTAATATATGTTCAGACTTGGAAATGACTTTCCAGCAGTGAGCCGAATGCAGGAAAGCTGCTGCATCGGCACAGTTCTCATGTAGCATTAACTATGACTTTGTCTATGTGAAAGGACGTCATCTTGACCCTGCAAGAAAAGCTATCCATTAAAAGCATCGAGCACTTTTCTCTGATGCTGGAGCAAAGAGCTGAGGGATCTGCCAGCAAACTTATGCTCCTGCATGAACAGGAGATGCTAACTCAGGTGAGACTAACCCTCTCTTGGATGCCATTCAGCAAAAAACAAAAACAATGAGTGGATAGCTGAATTCATTCTGTTGTACAACTAAACACAGGTTCATTCTCTCATTTTAAACTGAGATAGGATAAATTGTGCTATTTCAAATTATTTATAAAATATGAGTTGAGGAGCTACAAGCTTGGTTGATCATACCATTTATCAGGAGTCACCAGCCTGAAATGCCCACTAACCTCAAACTGCTTTTCAATTATGTAAGAAATAAACTAAATCTCTTGTGATGGGATGATGGGACATAATGTATTCTTTACATTTATTCTTTACAGCCTTGTTAGATTTAGTTTTATCTAGCTAAGTATGGTCAAAACCATGTAAAAGATGGGAGACAGGAAAATGTGAGGGAAGGTGTATCATACCTGGATCAACTAATACATGATCTGCAAAATTAACAAGCCAAATTGTCCCGAAATCTGATCCTTTAACACCCAAGCGTTATGTTAATGTCATGGAGTAATATGGAGGATTGTCTTCTTTCTTTATTTGCTATATTTGTTGGAAAGATATATTTTGATACTGATCAAATTGTGTTTCACTGCAGTTGATAGAGGTGTAAAATTATAGGGATTAGAAATAATATGACATATTGGCATCAAAGCTGATCCTGTAGAGAACCTTTCCTCAAGTGGAATTCAGCAAGTATATGCAAGAGAATGAAATAGAACTGTTTCTAGTTAGCTCATTGGGCTCAGCAGAACTCCATCAATGTCATGATATGAGGGGTCTTTTCATCTAAAGTAACTTTAAAAGAATAAAAAATTGAACATAATATCCCCAAGTGAGTAGAAGTGCAAATGAATTCTGACAGAGCACTTCATATTACATGGGAATTTTGAATACCAAATCAATGTCAGATGTTGCATGGAGTGCATATGTCCTGTTCATATCACCAGAGACGCTTTTGCTAGTCACACTATAAACAAACACACCTCACTACTAATCAAACCCTCCCTATCTTTGGTTTGTGCTCCAGGTGACACAGAGGCCAGGGGCACACAAGATGAAGTGCTTTTTTCGGATCACATTTGTCCCAAAGGATCCTGTGGACCTGTTGAGGAGGGATGCAGTAGCATTTGAGTACCTCTATGTTCAGGTGAATACAGATCATTCACACACAAAACTCCAGAGTGGAATTAAATGTCTCAGAATATTACCACACTGTACAACGAGACTAAAGCTAGGTTGAGCAGAGACGTGCTGAAGCTCTTTTTTTGTCTTGGATTTCGTAACGAAGGGATTGACTGATGCGTAACACCTTCCTGTCTTATTCCTGTCTGTCTCACCCAGAGCTGTAATGATGTGGTGTTGGAGAGGTTTGGGTCGGAGCTGAAATATGACACGGCGCTACGTCTGGCTGCCTTGCAAATGTACATTTTAACTATCAATACCAAGCAGTCCCAGAAAGTTTCCCTAAAATATATTGAGTAAGTAGATTGCATTTCACAGTATGGTGGTTCCTGCAGGAATCAGTGCAATGTTGCCTTTCACTGAAGTTTTCTTCTTTCTAATCTCATTTGCGCTATAAAGGTTACTGCTAAACACCTTGGATATACTGTAGAACAACACCATCACTCCTGTTTTGTTTTAGTACTTGGAATGAGATCATCCTGATTTTAAAAAGTTAATCAACTAATAAGCTCTAGATGAAGTGGAGGAGAGTTACTTAGCAGATTTTAATTGCATCTGACTTTTTCTTATATTCTTTAATGTGCATCTGCAGGAAGGAGTGGGGTCTTGCGCTATTCCTCCCTCCTGCTGTTCTATCTAGCATGAAGGAAAAGAATATAAAAAAAGCCCTCACCCACATCCTCAAAACTAACCAAAACCTGGTGCCACCTGGTAAAAAGGTAGAGAGCTGCTTCCTCATTTTCTCTTATCATCTTTATATACCTTTAAAATGTTTTTTTCCACATCTGTCTCTTGGCTACCCCCTAGTGGAGACTTGGGTTTCAAAATTATGGTGCAGGGTGGATGCTTTAAGAAATACTGTTACACTTCTTTAATTTGATGTCTTATTCAAATTGTTTACCTTTCTTTCCTTCAGCTGACTGCCTTGCAAGCAAAGGTCCATTATCTGAAGTATCTCAGTGACTTAAGGCTTTATGGCGGACGCGTGTTTAAATCCACGCTCATTGTAAGTGAAACTGAAGTGTAAATACAGCACTGGTACACCCACAGACAAAGATATCTGTGTGTATTGATGTCTCTTCCCTTTTATAGCAAGGTGAGAAGCACACAGAAGTGACTTTGCTGGTGGGGCCCAAATATGGCATCAGTCATGTGATAAACACCAAAACCAACCTTGTGGCACTCCTGGCTGATTTCAGTCACGTTAATCGCATCGAGATGTACACAGAAGATGAGAACAGGGTTAGAGTGGAACTGCACGTCCTGGATGTTAAGGTAACAAACTATGCTACAGTTTTACTTTAACAGAAGCGTGTTAGGGAAGTAATTACAACAACATTTTGCAGCTTCCCTTCCCATTTATTTTGTTCCCATCGTCATCTGATTATCTTCCTCTTTCACAGCCCATCACTCTCTTAATGGAGTCTGTTGATGCAATGAATTTGGCTTGTTTGACTGCCGGGTATTACAGATTGCTTGTGGATTCCCGACGCTCCATCTTCAATGTGGCCAAAAACACAGACGGTATGAGGGCAATGCATCTATAACTCTGTCATGCTGACTCAGCAGAAAAGGCTGCATTGACATGTTTTTTTTTTGTTTCATGTCTTTTCTTTGGTTCCCTTTTTGCAGGCCATGCCGCTAGAATTAAGCAAAACTATCAGGCCATCGAGTGTGCCTACAGCATACCACATAAAGGATGTGAAGACAGAAGCAACCAGAGGTACAGCCAAGATTATTCAGACCACGAGTGTGAATACCTCGAACACAGCAGATGCGAGGGCCAGCCCGTGTACATAACAGAGATCCACCAGCCCCAGCACACAGGTCATATGACAGAGAGGGCAGAGTGCTGCAGAGGGCCTTGCACACAAACCTATCTCAACATCCCAAGGGCCAAACCACAGGACTCCTCCAGGAATGCAAAGGTGTCATTTATATTCGGGGATCCTCCCTTAGACAGTGTAAACCCCCAAAATCTGGGCTACCAGAGACTGATGGATGAAGGCTCAGAGGCCGCAGACAATCACAGCCCCATGTACAGACGCCTTGAAGAGGACTACAAGATGATGGATGCCATAGAGGAAGGGTATCCGTACTCCACCAAAATCTTTGGCCCTACTGAGTGCATCGAGGAGCCGCTGCTGCATGATATCTGCTATGCAGAGACCACAGACGACGCGGAGGATGAGGATGACATCAGCTGTGAGGAAGACATGGCGATGAGTGACACCGACAAGCCGATGTTGCTCTCACTCTCAGGGTCCAGCGACGACATCATTGACTTAACTTCCCTCCCTCCACTACCGGAGGTCAATGATGAGGAGGACAATGACGTGCTGTTGCACTCTCTAAACATGGCCATCGCTGCTCCTCCTCCTGGTTTCAGGGACAGCTCAGATGAGGATGAGCAGCAGGCGGCTGGGATCCGGGCCCAGGAGTCCCGCAACGATATTCCAGTTTCCCTAATAGATTCAGTGCCCACCCACGGAGCACAGGGCCCTGGGGAGCCTCTGGACGATGCCATGGTGTCCACCTTACAGGCACTGGAGGCCCTTGCTGCTTCTGAGGAACAGAGTCCAGCCCAGTCAGAGAGTAGCGCAGGTTCTTCTTTTACTATTGTAACGTTCATCCATTAACATCACACATGCCCTTGCCATTCACATTTGATTTGTTTTTATTTTCTTTATTTTCTTTTTTCAATAAAGCCCATTTTGTTCTAGGTTTCCATCTGTGAGTACGTTTCTGTTCATTGTTGTGTCGTTCATGTCAGTTTGTTTATTCATTATTTTCTCATTTCCACACAATACAATGTATGAACCTTTGTTCCCAATAAAAAAGAATAATATAAAATAAATACTTTTAATATACATCAATTGATGTGACCAAAAGTATTGGTAGCTAACCATTTAAATAGTAAAAAGAAATATTCCTTTGAAATCTGTTGTCACTATCAGAAGCTTTTAAAGTTTTTCAACTTTTGGTTTGACAATTGATAAGATTGCTCTTATCAATAGTCAATAGATTTCTCTGGGGTGTCCTCCTGCAATTTTGAGCTTTAACCCTCCCTGTAAGGCTGGGCTGGATTAAGATCATGATTCTCATTACCACATGCAATTTCTAATCTGGTCTTGCTGAAAAAATGTTTGTTTTGGGCCATTATGCTGCTGATAGAGCTGAAAATAAGACAGCTTTTTCACATTAGGAGCAGAGGTGGTTATTGCTATTCGATGCTTCGATAACTGAGCCTCCCTCATAACTTAAAGAGTTGATGATGTTCTCTCTCATGAACGTGTCATTATATTATCCTCCAGAGGTCAGACTGAATTACCAACAAGCATAACAAAGATCTTTTCTAATTATGTGTTTGTGTCTAACCTAGAAAATGACAGATGATTTGATCGGGCATCATAAACCTTAGACTGATTTCTTGATACTATTATGAGCATAGCCTTAATTTTCCTCCCTTTATTGAGTGTTGAACAAACAATGTCATGAAATCATGGAATTAGATATTTGAATTCCAATAGTCTGAATACTAAGATTTACATGGGCCACTCTTCCAAAAGTAACTGACGACATACATATAACCACTTTAGTTTATAGTCATCTTCTTTACAAAAACTGTAAGACATGAGATTTTGGTAATGTCTCAACGAGGTGTCAGTTTGCCACAACCTTAAGATATCTTATGTATTTAATTCAGTTTAAGATGGCATCATCCCATGCAATGACTTACATTTGTTGTCAGTGTCATCGAGATGTTGATTTACCATTCCCAGCTCACTCTCTAAAATATTTTTCCTGTCTTTCAGATGAAATTGTTAATGAGCTTTTTGTCTTTCTGTGGTACGCAGGTGTAGAAATATCAAGAGCATTTAGTCCTGAGTCTTCAGATTCTGGCAATGAGACAAACTCCTCTGAAATGACAGAAAGCTCGGAGCTGGCGACTGCTCAGAGACAATCAGACAACCACCTGAGAATGCATGTAGCCATGACAGAAGGATACCATGGCATGAATGAGGAAAAGACAGCGAGTGCTCCAAGTGATGTGCATCAGGAAGAAGAGGAGGCAAAATCCTCTGCTGTCGCTTCCTCACAGATTTTTCACTCAGGTGGCGGTGAGATGGAACCAGAAACAATGGAAACAAAGTCAGTTTGTGAATATTTTACAAAGACGCACATGGGCTCATTAATGAACAGACAGAGAGGAAAACAGAGGGAGATGGACACCAGAATCCAAGGGGATTCGTGCGACTCCCCAAATAAATCACTCATGACTTCTCAAGACTTAGCTAAAGAGGACCTCCCTCATCTTGTCGGGAAGTACAATTCCTTCACTGTGAGAGATTCCTATTACATGAATCAACTTGATCTGGGGAGAAGTCACTGTAAAGACAGGCATCAAAAATGGCAGCAGAGAGCTCCGGTAAACAAAATGGCAGAGGATCGTGCTCCAGAATGTGTGAATGACTCACAGGCTTCCCACGCAGAAAGGCTGACAGCAAAGGGGGAGAAGCAAGACACAGATGAAAGAAGCCAACAGCTAAATGCCCATCTCCTCACCCCATCCAAAGGGCCCGTCCCCGCAGAGAGCGATCCCACTTTTCAGGATAATGAGCAGCAGCAGCAGATAAAGCTTCCACAGTCAGAGCCAGATGTCGCACGGTTATATGAATACCATACGAACAAGCGAATGTCATCAATACAAAGTGAAGGAATCCATTCCCTCCAGAGTTCCCAGTGCTCCTCTATAGATGCTGGTTGTAGCACTGGCAGCAGCAGCTGTGTCACTCCCATGGATTCTCCCCTTTGTGCCACAGATAGTATGCATGTACTGTCAGAGTCTTCACTCAAGGGGTTAAGTTATGTTACTGCTGAAGAGAAGATGTACGGGCCCTCAATGCCGGGGAAAATGGGTCACCCAATAGATCCCACCCTGCTGAGGAAGATCCACGCAGCCACCAGTGCTGAGCCTGGATTTGGAAGCCAACGGGACAGCAGTCATAGAATGCCCAAGATAAAAGAGACCACAGGTAAGATTAAACAGGGCCGTGCTCCACCTAATCATTTTAATGAGCTACAAACCTCACCAAAAACATGTTTATATGCATGGAAATTCAAAATGTGCATACTATAACTGATACATGTACCCACAATCGAGCATGTTATATATCGAATGGTTTATATTCAGATAAGAGACACCAGCAGTTAGAATCTAGGATATAATAGGCTCTTATTCATCCTTTAATCACTAGTAAAACATTTAAACAACATTGCAATTAAATACAAATGTAATTTCTGAAGACATGCCTGACTAACATTTGAATGTGTAACTGACAGCAAGTGTATTTCTGTCCCAAGAGAGTAATTTCATTACTGTAAGAGAGATGCTTAATGATTCTTTCTGCTTTCCTACTACCCCTAGTGTAGCTTGCACAAAGCTGAAGGAGGCTGGGAAAGAGTCATCTTTAGCGCTCTGTAATGAGACCAGTTCCACCACCACAATCATGTCACCTTCATCTATACGAAGTAGCACAGAGCCCAGTGGGCCAACACTGGCCAGTCCTGAGCCTGACCCACACGCCCTGGCGTTCCCTCCATGTGGATCTTCATGTGACCCAACAACAGGCAACCTCAGGAAGCCACGCAGGGTTCGGATGCTCAGGAGGAGCTGGAGCACCTTAATGCCAGGTTCCAGAAGTTTAGAAGCACTGATAGAAAAGACCAAAGCCACACTTACTGGGAAGAATGATAATCAGAACATGCAGTCTCAAGATCCCCCAAATGTGCAGAGGGCAGTCTCAGCCAAAACCTTGCCCAAGAGTATATCCCAGGGTTCAGTCTTCTCCAATTCATGTGGTAGACAGCTGCTAACAGGAGCCTCACCGTTGTCACTGGAGTCAACAGTTCTGAGGCTGGATGCAGGCACATGGAGATGCCGTGGGCCGTTCAGTAACTGCTTTCTCACAAGAAGGTCAAGCACTCAAAGAAGTGATGAAGACAGAGAGATGCCTTCACGTGCCCTGCGCTCCGAGAGCTCAGTTTCTTTCTGTGGTAAGGAAAGTCTACTCCTGAAAGCAGAATATAAAGGTAAACAGAGCAGCAAGCCCTCATCTGTGAATGACATGAGCCTCGACGAGAGGCTTGCACTTATAAATTCAATGAAGGGAAAAACGTACAGCCTTCACACAGGGTTTGCACTTGCACGTAAGGATGCCTTAGAGATGATCAGCGTGTTGCGTTTCAGCGTGAGACATAAGTCCAGAGGTGACGTACCTGAGGCCAATAAAGCAGATTTGAAAACGTTCTCCCAGCTGCTTTTCATGCAGGCCAAAGTACTGAGTGGCGCCTGCAGTCAGATGGCCATGGAGTACAGCAGCCCCGAGGAATTGCTGCTCACTCTGACTCACAGCTTCCACACACTCTGTTGCTTAACACAAGCCAGCATGTCACTGGTGGAAGGCCTGAGCAGTGAGAACGAACGCCGTGAGGTGATAGCCAAGGTGGATGAGGTGGTCATGAACTATGCCTGTCTGCTGAAAGCTGCTGAGGCAGCTGCAGGAGGCTCCCCCGGTGACAAAAGTGTGAATGCATTGACACATTACTCTACCACCATGTCTGCTATTATAAACACACTAACTCACTCACTGAAAACACTGCTCAACAGAAAACTCTTTTTTTGCGCCGATTATTGATTTTAAAGCCATATATAAAGAGACATGGGTTTAACAACCAATGCGAACTGCTGTGAAAATAAGAAGATATGCCTTGTGTATACAATATTTTGTTATGTGAAGGAAATATGGTACATAAATAAAAGTTTTGAAAGATTATATTAGATATATATATATATATATATATATTAGATTGTATTAAGGCCTCTATTGAAAACTTATGAACCTCCTCTCAAGAATATTATCCGACTGAATTAGGATTATTTTGATGATTTATTGGTTATATTAGGAGTGCAACTTGTAAATTAATATAAGCTTATGAGTATCTTGTTCATAACTTGTACAAATAATATTATGTTGAAGAAATGCATAAACTATGTAAAGCTCAAGACAAATCATTTCACGGGACTAGATGTAACACAAAATAAATGACATAACACATTTCAAAAGTTCATTTTCCAAATCACTTTATTTAATGAATACTTTAACACATGAACACTGAGTACTTTACTGTTTCTTTGTCCACATCATAAAATAAATTAAAACTTTGAAAAATCTTCTCCAATTACTTTGTCTCCCTCCAAAAGGTTCTTCTCTTTAATAAATGTACAACACAACACAGCATTTTCAGCTGCACGTGGAAATTAAGAGCCATTTCAATAAACTCTCACAATTATACAAGTTAAAAGAAAAGAAAAAAGTAATCCTCAGTGGAGACAAATTTATTTTCCTAGGATTTGTTTCAATTTCAAACAATTCATGATGTCACGGTTCACTTGAGACTGAGTGGTGGCGTTTTTCTGCAAGAATATAAGCACTGAGTATTGAGTTGGGTGCAATTATTTGCATATCCTAACAATGCAATCACTCATGCACTCATATTTACTGGGTTTGATTTTAATCATATTAGTCTTTTTTGTTTCATGAGAGCAACTCAAGCTAATAACAAAGCTTTGGCGTGTGATTTTTTTCTTGACAAGGCATTTAGCCTGCTTGCTTAGGTGGGATTTGAGCAGGTACAGAAATCTGTAAAAACAAACAGGACATGTGGTGCTCATTTTTCACGTAAGGTTGTGTACAGCGATAACTGTCCAGATGGGATGTAGAAGAAGCCAGATTTGTTTGACAAAGACAACAGATAGCCTCGTCGGCGTCGCTGGTATACAACTGCCAGTGAACTGCAATTGTCGATTAAGATATTGACAGTGATGAAGTGCTGAATACTGCTCAACACTTACTCTTTAGAAAAGTTACCCTTTTCCAGTAAAATAGTCATTTGTCTTATTAATTAGGAATTCACCCTCTGTTTAAACCTGGGTATTTCCAGAGGGTGCTTCCATTTTAGGTCAAACAGGTAGATATTTTAAAGCAATCAAGTCTTATCAAGCTTTTCAATTAGTTGTTAGGTTAATTTCTTTAAGGAGACAGGTAACATCATGATAAATGCAAATATATCTAAAGACATTTTTTAATGGATTTTATTCAAGTAGGTCCTAGGCTAGATAAGTGTAATTTAATTTCTATGTTATTATAATGACTCATGAGACCAATATGAATCTCATATTACTCTCTTGAGCAATATGAGATTAGAGCATGGAGTCAATAGTGACTTGTCAGGGGTATTCTCAGAGGACTACATCACTTGAGAATAAGTTAAAATAATCCTTTATGCACCACAGATTTCAGTCAGTTTTATCTGAACTGTGGAGATATTCCCTTTGAAAAAAGTCTTGTGTATGCATCAGTGAGTCAGCGAAAACATCTGGTCCGTCGATGTAAATGGCACACAATAAATGATACATTTTCATTGTGAAAGGAGAACAAATCCGAAATTGGTCTGTATAACAGAATCTGTACATGTGGTAAAGGAACAGACATGCACACTATGTAAACAGGTGAGATATACAGCCACAAAGCAGCCACAGGTTAAGGAAGGATTTGCCGGATTTACCTTCTCAACCCTGCACATAGGTTTCGTTTTCCTAGAAATGAAACCAGTCTTTACTCTGGTGGCAGGCACTTAACCCAGAAATACTTAAATTGAGATATCATCCCATAGAAATGGAGCAAGATCCTTAAATGTTTGGCCCTTTCATTATAACCAAGTCATTGCCTCAATGATCTCAACATGGAGCATATGCCTACAAAGCCGAGAGCATTTGGTCGAGCACAAAAAACATACGAAAGGTTTGCCATGTGTGGTTTGTAATAAGGAAGTGATGCTGGCTAAAATTATCCACACAAGCACCTGTTACTTTTCATCCCATCGCCTCAGAATTAATTGTGAGCGCTACATGTCTTCAGTACAAAGCTCGACGACAGATCTCAAAGCAAGACGTCTTTTCACACTCTCAGAAAAATAATGTCTTTTCACCTGGTGAGTGTAAGAATATTTGTTGTAAAAACTCTGTAATATCGTGATTTATATGCAGTTTAAATGAGGGGGGGTGATCAGAAGGAGTGTAAACATACAGATGGTGAAAATGAAGACAGTGCCTCAGCCATTTCCTTGATAAACTATGACGGTGGCAGATTCTGTGCTTAGTTTTACTCAATCAATGATATTGATGGCTCCATTTGCCATATATGTTCATTTATTGCTTGTCGCAGATTTCTCATAAGATGACTATGTCTCTGTACAGATGTGTGTGGTGCTGCTAGGCACGTGGTGTTGTTTCCTTGTTACAACAACTGGAATTTCCTACCCAAAAACCCTGCCATGCGACGTCAGCTATGTCAGCGATGGAAGTGAGGTGAGAGTGGACTGTACCGATAGACGCCTTAAGGAGATCCCCCAAGGCATCCCAAGAGATACGACCAATCTGACTCTCACCATCAACCACATTCCAAGATTAAACTCAACCTCCTTTCATGGTCTGGAGAACTTGACTGAGATTGACATGAGGTGCAACTGTGTGCCCATCAAAGTTGGCCCAAAGGACAACATGTGCACAAGGAGTGTTATGATTGAGCAAAATACCTTTACTACACTGAGGAATCTGCGAGCTTTGTATCTTGATGGAAATCAGCTTGACAGTATACCTAAAGGTTTGCCCTCTAATCTCATGCTGCTGAGTTTGGAAGTTAATCATATTTATCATATTTCAAAAGCAAACCTCTCTGAGATCAAGAACATTCAGGTGCTTTACCTCGGCCAAAACTGCTACTATCGTAACCCATGTAATGTTTCCTACTACATAGACGACGGCGCATTTTTACAACTGAACAATTTGACATTATTATCTCTAAAGTCCAACAACTTGTCTTTTATTCCTTACAATTTACCCACAAGTTTAAAGGAGCTGTATCTCTACAACAACAACATTCAGGAGGTCACTAGTGAGGATTTTAAAAACCTAACAAACCTTGAAATTCTGGACATTAGTGGAAATTGTCCTCGATGTTACAATGCCCCTTACCCGTGTACCCCATGCCCAAAAAATGCGCCACTTCAAATCAGCAAGACAGCGTTTCAAATGTTGACCAATCTAAAGACGTTACGTATGCACAGTAACTCCTTGACAAGTGTGCCATCGGAATGGTTTTACACTACAAAGATGCTCAGAGTGCTTGATCTGTCATCAAACTTTTTAGCAAGAGAGATTGGATTTACTTCCTTCCCTTTATTCCTAGGAAAACTAGAAGAGCTTGACCTGTCCTTTAATTATGAGCTTCAGAGGTATCCTCAGACACTGAGCCTGAGCTGCAGTTTCTCATATCTCAAGTCCCTTAAAATTCTCAGACTGAAGGGATATGTGTTTCAGCAGCTAAAGAGAGAGAGCATTGAACCTTTAAAACCTTTACCAAACCTGGAGGTTATAGATCTTGGAACAAACTTTATAAAAATGGCCAATCTTAGCATTCTAATGGAATTAAAAAGTTTTAAAATAATCAGTCTGTCAGACAACAAAATATCTTCTCCCTCTGATGGCCAGGATGCTGTTAGTTTCACTGGAGCAGAACCCTCACACTGGTCTCCCATGTCAGCGGCTGATCAGTACCAAACTCAGGAAGTGAGAGAGATTCATTACTTTAGATATGATGAATATGCACGTAGCTGCAAATACAAAGATAAGGAACTCGGAGTAATTACATCCTTTGTCAACAAAGACTGCAGCAAGTTTGGTAAAACCTTGGATGTAAGCCGAAACAATATATTCTTCTTGCATTCAAGATTTTTAAATCTCAAAGAGCTTAGATGCCTGAATTTGTCCGGAAATGCAATGAGCCAAAGCCTGAATGGTTCTGAATTTATCAATCTGAGAGATTTACAGTATCTGGACTTCTCTTCGAATCGCTTGGACCTGCTCTATTCAACTGCTTTTAAAGAACTAGAAAGTCTGGTTGTCTTGGATATAAGTAATAATAACCATTATTTTGAATCAGAAGGCTTGACTCATTTACTTAATTTTACTAAAAATCTTAAAAAGCTCAAGGTACTTCTGATGAATCATAACAAAATCTCTACGTCCACCAACACAGAGCTGGAAAGTGAATCCCTGGAAAGGTTAGAGTTCAGAGATAACCGCTTAGATATGTTGTGGAGAGATGGGGACACGAGATATGTGAACTATTTTAAAAAGTTGAAGAATCTGAATGTTCTCGATATCTCTCACAATAACCTCAATGTTATTCTTCCTGATGTCTTCAGTGGCCTACCAGACAAGCTGTCTGAGCTGTACATAAGAAACAACAGGCTAAAGTCCTTTGACTGGGGGAATCTAAAACGCCTGCGTTATTTACAAGTCTTAGATCTCAGTGGGAACTCCCTAACGACGGTTCCTCAAGTGTTGTCGACCTGTACAACATCACTTGAGAAACTTGTATTACATAAAAACCAAATCCAAAAACTGACAGAAAATTTCCTCAGGGATGCCTTCAGCTTAAAATATCTGGATCTGAGTTTTAACCACATACAGTACATTGAGAAATCCAGTTTTCCAGATGATGTTGTTGAGCAGATGGATATGTTGCTCCTTCACAAAAACAAGTTTCAGTGCACCTGCAATGCTACTTGGTTTGTCACGTGGCTCAACAAGACAACGGTGACCATCCCTCAACTCGGCACAGAGGTCACCTGTGCTGCTCCAGGTGCTCAAAGAGGACATCCTGTTGTCTCAGTGGACTTATTGGCTTGCCAGCATCCCTTCCTGTCCATCATCCTCTACACTCTCATGACTTCCCTTGTCCTCAGCTTCCTCACCCTGTCCATTTCCAGTCATCTATTCCTGTGGGACGTGTGGTACATCTACCACTTCTGCAGGGCCAAGCTGAAGGGTTATGGCCGCCTGCACTCACCGAGTGCTGTCTACGATGCTTTTGTGATCTATGACAAAGAGGATCCTGCAGTGTCAGAGTGGGTGATGAAGGAGATGTGTGTTCATTTGGAGAAGATCGGAGAGCGCCGCCTGACACTATGTTTGGAAGAACGAGACTGGGTCCCTGGTTGTCCCCTGATTGACAACCTCTCTCAGAGCATCCACAAGAGCAAGAGGACAGTGTTTATACTCACTAAAAAGTACATCAAAGGGGGGAATTTTAGGACAGCTTTCTACATGGCCAATCAAAGACTAATGGATGAAAAAAATGATGTTATTATACTGATTTTCCTGGAGAAAGTGCCTTGCAATTCAAAATATCTACGATTAAGAAAGAGATTGTACAAACGGTCTGTACTCGAGTGGCCAACCAACCCTCAGGCTCAGCCATACTTCTGGTTTAGCCTGAAGAGTGTTTTAGCAACTGAAAGCCACAAACAATACAACAATCTATTCAAAGAGACACTGTAACCAAAAAAATATTCTAAAATATTCACTTCCCCATTCATTGTTTATGCTCTAGATGTACTTCTGTCCATGCATTTTAGTCAGGACAAAGAGGCGTTGTTTAAATATAAGCAGAAGTTTTTGCTAATCTTACATATACCAATTATTTCCCCCTTATGGGATGGATTTGCATTTTGTGCCAACCTCAGACAGAGTTCTTATGTGGCTCCTGTGTAAGATGGCTGTGTAGCGTTGCTTGAAACGAGGAAATGAAACAGATGCAGTACTTCTGCAATTGGCGTGTTATTTCTCTCCAACAGACTGCCTTATGTGAACCAGTGTGGCTATTCACTGTGTGACTTTAGCCACATGGAGACTGTGTTTAAACTGTAGACATTAAAAAACAAGAAATAGTTTAAAAGTTGTTGCACAGAGATGAAGGGGCATCAGGACAGCTTACGCAGAATGGTGAGTTTGAGTAATTCACTTACTTATGTAGTTACACATGTAAGATGATAATCAGGCCTTTCATGTTTCGATTTATTATATAAATGACTTTTTTACACAATGCTTTTCCTGATTTTGTGCTTGAAGACTGGGATTGTGTATGAATATAATATTGTTTTATGTATGTATGGTAAGTTTCTCTTGCTTAATAAAAAACATGCTCAACAGTAAAAGCAGCCTACCCAGCCACCGACTTCTGAAATGTAATAATGTCTTGGTTTAAATTAATAATCAGTGTATTTCTACATGACCCTGTCATTTAAGAAACTTCAAAGCTTTATCATACTTTCAGTATTTTTTAACATGTACAGTTTTCACAACAGCTTTAGAAATGATATTCTGTCCTGCTGTGAAATGTTGATGCCAACAGAGCTCAACCAAATACCAAGTGTACAAGTTGGAGTATTTTCTTGGTGATAGATCACTGCCATCTCCTGGTGCTGTCCCATGCAGCAGTGTCTGACAATTGAAAGAGGATTTAATTAGCTCAAAGTCTGCCCTTAGCAAACAGTAAGCTAAGATGATAGTATATATTGCTCTTTCACATCAAGAGCTTTGACCTTCATCATTTCAGGACAATCTTTTTTTCTCATATATTTGATCAAATGAGATCAAAGTCCATTTTAATCCATCTTTAATTATCACATAAAAATCTGCTCAAATACATTTCTTTGGGGCCCAAGTTAAAATTCACCAAAGGCAGGTTTTAAATTATTTAACTGTGCTTCATCTTAATATGGAAAAAAAGTACCAATGTATTCACACATGCCATTTTTTTAGTAACAAGTTTGTAACAAGTCTTTCTTGGATTTTGGTTAATATCAATAACATGCCCAGGAGTGGATGGAGTCAAGGCACCGCAAGCCACTTTTATCCTAACATAAAGAGGGGATAATAGTCCCAAAGAAAGATCATTACTGAATTTGTGTAAATTAAAATTCATAGAAACAACCAGTTGTGTGAAATGATACACTTGGAAAACTAGGATTGATCAGCATGATAATTCCACTGCTTCTATTGAGGAGGTTAAGTCGTGTTACCTTCAGATTTCTTTATAGAATGTTGGGGGGGGGGGTGTTACTTGACAGTCTAGGATGTGAATTTGTGTAGAAATTAAAACTGAGCTCAAGAGTATTAGATGAGTACTACTTCCCATTTATGAAAAACAAAAGTCTGAAAATCACTTCATAAGACTGATATGACTTAATTGTTTGTCTACAGAACTTCATGTGTTGGATTCACCTGCTGCTTCTCTTTTTGTGTTGCCATCATGAGATAACAACTGCTCCCAGCAAACCTTTTTGGATGTTACCTCAGTTCCCCTGTGATGTCACTTCCATCAATTCTTCTGTGGTCATTTTTGATTGTAGAGGACGTCATCTGTACAAAGTTCCTTTTGGGATAACAAGTAATGCAACTGATCTTGACTTATCAGAAAATTTCATTAAGAACATCACCGTCCAGCCACTCTCCAGCCTGCACAATCTGATTCGGCTCAATCTCAACTGGGCAAACAAGCACAAAAGAGTGATAATTGCTGCAAATGTTTTCAAAAACTTGACGAAACTCAGTGAGCTGAGCTTGGCCGGCAATGGCCTGAAAACTATTCCAGATAATATCCCCATCAGTTTGAAAAACCTTGATCTGAGCTACAACAAGATCATTTTGCTGGACGACCGCAACTTTTCACACTTAACAAACTTGACTCAGTTGTATCTCTCAAAAAACTGCTACATGTGGAATCCGTGTGGGGAAGCGTTTCAAATTATGGACAACAGCTTTGCTGCCCTGACCAAACTCCAGGCTCTGGACTTGTCTTCCAACAACTTAAGCCATGTTCCCAAAGGATTGCCCCATTCATTAACCACGTTGAATCTTGCCTCCAACAAAATACAGCACATATATAAAGATTATTTCAATGGGCTGCATAACTTAAATGACCTTCAGATACAGGGGAACTGCCCAAGATGTAACAACGCTCCTTATCCTTGTGTGACTTGCCCCAACACTTCTCTTGGCATTGATGATGATGCATTTTATAGTCTAACACAGCTTGAGAAACTGAACCTAGGAGGAAACTCACTGCAGTACCTGAATCCCTGTTGGTTTAAAAGGCTGAGCAAGCTTAAAATGCTTGAATTGTCATTCAACTTCTTACTAAAAGCTATCACAGAGGAGGCCACATTTCTCAGATACATTCCTGGGATTGAAGTGATAGATGTGTCCTTTAACTATAATTTGAAGCTTTATCCTACAACAGTTAATCTTTCAAAAGAGTTTTCCAAGCTCACATCATTAAAAAACTTGCATTTGGAGGGTTTAGTCTTCCAAAACATTGGACCAGACACACTCAAACCCCTGTATCAGCTTAAAAAATTTTCTGTGTTGGATTTGGGGACTAATTTTATCATTCATACAGATCCTAATGTATTCAGAAAATTCCAGCATTTGAAAATTATATATCTTGCAGAAAACAGGTTGTATCCCATTCCAGACATAACCCCCCCGATTCTAAAAAGGGAAATAGCCAATCAAATATCTGACCGTTCCATTTCACCTTTCTTGAAACCCAATCCAAAAGGCTTTGCTTATGAGATATCACACAGATTCATACAGCCAGAGTGCCTTGACTCTGGTAGGGTTCTTATCCTCAGCTCAAACAACCTATTCTTTATTTCTGCAAAACAGTTTGAGGGATTTGGAAATATTGCATGTCTCAACCTCTCAGGGAATGGATTTTCAGCAGCCCTTAATGGCACTGAGTTTTTCTTGCTGCCGAATCTGACATACTTGGATCTCTCTCATAACAAGATTGATCTGGCCTATGACAACGCTTTCAAAGAGCTGCAGCGTTTACAAGTACTAGACCTCAGTCACAATGCACATTACTTTCAAGCATTTGGCATAACGCATAATTTGAATTTTATTAAGAACCTGCCTGCTCTGAGAGTGCTGAATATGAGTCACAACTCCATTTCCATGTTAACAACAAAAAAGATGCAGAGCAAATCTTTGGCAGAACTTCAGTTTACACATAACTTACTTGGAACTCTTTGGAAAGAAAGAGATGGCTCCTATGAGGGACTTTTCACTAACCTTACTAATTTGACAGTTTTAGATATATCCAACAATCGCATTTCAAAGATTCCTCACAGCATTTATCTGCATTTGCCCCGTAAACTCATCAAACTATGCATCAGTCATAACTTTCTGGCTGACTTTGAATGGCAGACACTAAAGTTATTCCATCAACTTAAAATCTTAGACCTGAGCTTTAATCATTTGTCTCATGTGGCAGGTATTAACTCAAACATCACCAATACTTTGACCTTTCTTGATCTGAGTCACAACCACATCTTTCATCTGGACAATGGGTTTTTCAAAGGGCCAAGAAGCCTTGTAACTCTCAGTCTGAAAAACAACCAACTGACTACCATCAATCAATCGACCTTCCCAGCCGGACCTGAGAATCAACTCAAGACTTTATTCTTACAGAGGAACCCTTTCCAATGTACCTGTGATTCCTTAGATTTTATTGTATGGATTAAAAGCAGCAATGTAAAGATTCCTAGACTGACAACTCAAGTGACATGTTCTACACCAGAAGACAAAAAGGGTAGCGTGCTGATAAACTTTGACATTAAACAGTGTGTAAATGACAGTGAAGCATTCCAAATGTACATTCTCACGACTTCTTTCATTATAATGTTCATGTTTGTAGCAACAGTTTCTCATTTATTCTACTGGGATGCTTCTTATGTTCTGCATTATATGAAAGCTAAGTTGAAAGGGTACCGATCTTTGCACTCACCAGATAATGTCTATGATGTCTTTGTCACATACGACACCAAAGACCCACTTGTCTCTGAGTGGGTGATGAGGGACCTCCGGGTAAAACTTGAAGAGGAAGGAGAGAAGCATCTGCCTTTGTGTCTGGAGGAAAGGGACTGGCCCCCTGGTGTCCCTTTAGTGGACAATCTCACTCAAAGCATCCAATATAGTCGCAAAACTATGTTTATCTTGACAGAGGGCTATGTCAAGACGGGTATCTTCAAGATGGCAATATACCTGGCCCACCAAAGACTGCTGGATGAAAATGTGGATGTGATAGTGCTGCTGATGCTGGAGCCCGTCATGCAGCATTCACACTTCCTGCGCCTGAGGAGACGGCTGTGTGGGAAAAGTGTGGTTGAGTGGCCGAGAACTGCAGCCGCTGAGCCCTGGTTTTGGCAAAATCTAAGAAATGTCATCAAAGTGGATAATCAAGTGATGTACAACAAAACATATTCAAAGTACTTCACCAGCAAGTAAACCAGAATGTTGCTTTGACTTAACGTGTTTTTTTTATGTTGGTTTGTTTTTTATAAGGGGCTAAGTTTTGTGTTGGTCCAAAATGTCCTTTTTGTTTTTGTTTTTTTCTGAAATGGTTGATAATTTCATGTTTTTTTATAGTGAATATGTTTTTCTTCCTGATGATCATGATAATAAAAAGTATACTTACCTCTCGTTAAAATGTTTCCTTGAAGCCTGGGGTTAAAAAATAAAAATAAAAAAGCTGTGGCGTATACATCTAAAATCTTCTGATTTTGATAAGCGGTTGCCACTATCGGCCGCCTGGAGTCGCAACTGTTAAAGTTCATTCAATCACATCAAACTCAGCGTCTCACTTTTAGATTCGATCCTTTTGTAGGCGATATTATCAGTGCTTTTTTGAATAGAAACATTTCTTTAAGCGCGTATGCAACATTCACGTCCACCATAATCCGGATAGTAAATCTACTCGTGCCAATCATTTAATGAGAAACAGCTGGTACTGCAACGAGTTGGGGGGGCTTTTGTTCTGAAATATAAACATATAATTTTCACAACTCTTCCTTTTTAACTTTCCTGACTTGTATGGCTTTGTGTCTATATTCATGCTCAGAAATTAACAACAAAAAAAGGCGACACTTCTGGTACAAAAAGATTGTGTGACGTCAGAGAATAATTACCATACTCTGAGGTATTTATTGGATGAATGAGGCGTGAGTCATTACTCTGCTCCTGAGATAACGAGACTTCAGATCTGCGTGACTTCTCTGCGTTAAACCCTGGTGAGTACATTTCCCACCACATTTTCTCTTTAGTTTTTTCTACCTTCTTTACTGTGTCGTCTCTAAAGAATTTATAAAAAGTCGTTGACTTTCTTTCTTTTAAAATCTTGCACACGTAACTCGTACTGGGTCTCTTCCCAGAAGTCTCAAACGTGCAGCTGGATAAATGTCTTGGTATTTGCGTTGTTTGCTAAGTTAAACAGTTTATTTATTTTTACATCCGGAACCCGTAACGGGGTGCTTGGCTGTGCTCTGGCGCACACGCCTTAAGCCAGAGGCGTTCGTATCTGCCTCTATTGCTCAGTGGCGCTCCCTGACTTTAATTTGAATCAAACGTTCTTGTAATGTTTGTCTACTTGCAGCCTCGGCAAGCATGGCTGACAAACCTGACATCAAAGAGGTCACTACCTTTGACAAGACCAAGCTAAAGAAGACGGAGACTCAAGAGAAGAACACATTGCCAACCAAAGAAAGTATGTATTGATTTTTTTTTTTTTTTTTTTTTTTTAAATCCAGTCATTGATCGATCTGGATTTGACTCTTGCTCTCCTTCTGCAGCTATCGAACAGGAGAAGTCGGAGTCATAATGAGGTTTAGTCCTCCCACACTTTGTACATTCCACCAAGCTTTGCCCAATTCTACCTTGTCCAACATGCATTCAAGTTTAAGTACCTGCAAATGACGGCGAGCTCGCCACCATTCACCTTGACCAGATGGCTCTTTGTAAAGTAAAGCATGGCTTCATGCTGGTATGGGATCGAGGTTGCTGGGATGTGAAGTGGGGTGCTGGGAACAAACTGATGTACTTGCTCTCCACAGTTCTGAGGCCCTGCCTTGGTCACTTGTAAATGCTCACAAAGCAAGTTGTAGTTGAACTTGGAATGCAAAAGTCTGAATATGCATAAATAAAAAAAATTGAAAGTCAATGTCTTGCTGTGGTTTTTAAATCCAGAACAGCCTACAGGGTGTCCAATTTTAAATCCAATTATCAGGAACTCTGCAACTGTTCTGTAGTGCTTTAGGTCTCGGTATGTAACCTTTCAACATGGTTAAACTTATTGTGCAAGTGTTCAATTCTTGCCTACAGCTTCAGGGCTATGTTACAATAGTGCTTGGCGGCCATAATTTGACTATAGCAACCTTCAGAGAACGCTAGCCATTAACTGATTAGTAATTATATTTCTCACCACAACGGTGACCTCAAGATGTTGCAACATGAACTGGTATAGGAAAATAAACTTTGTCTTGAGATAACCCTGAACTGTAGTGGGAGGCTGCTCATTAGGGGTAGGTGGAAGAGGCCCTTGGGTTAGATCTGTAACAGGGAAGATCAGTCTTATGTTTATATTTCTGCATTTCATTACAATTGCAGTTGAGTACTGAGTCTTTTGCTGTTTCTGACTGGGGGTGCTAATGTCTAAATGTCCCCTCAAAGGAACACTGCTTCATTCCTGTGTGTAGCTATGCCAGCTGTTTCATTACAGCAGAGGTTGTGCAGCCCAGCATATCAGTGAACTCTTAACAGCTGTGCTGAGACAATAGGCTCTGCTGAGGGATTGGCACCAGTTGACATTTAGCCTCTTTCTCATGAGGCTGCATTTATTTTAGTCGTTCATGCTTTGGGAAAATGACATGTTTATATTTTGTATGGGTAAGGGGAAAAAGGCAAGATATTTTGGAGTGCACACAGCCTCCTCCAAGTTCTTCATTCTTGTGAGCTGTGTGGTTGAATAACAGATTCTCAGTGTCCTATAACAATGTGTGCTTTTGGGAATACACATTACCCGGCTCTCATATTTGAGAACCAAACTAATAATTTATCTGTTCATCTTGGAAGACAAAATAGATTATTTTTTCAAATCGAAAATAATCCATGGAGAATTAGAATAATGAAAACACAAAGTTGACGCACTTCATCTAAATGGAGCGAGTTTTTATTCCATCATCAACCTGATCGTGTCAATATAGAAGAATACCAATGATGGAGACAACAGTAAGCATTGATTGTGGTGAAACTGGCGTGAGAAGACGTGAGGCCATCCGTCACTGTTGTGACGAGCACTCTCTGGACAGACTGAATAGCCCAGCTACGAAGAACACAGCTGCCTCTGAGCCTGCACTCTGTGCGTGATGTGTTTGGAGCGTGAGGCAACACTGGTGCTGCGGCTCTTAGGGATTTGTACTGTACATCCACAGCTGCATTGTGGGCCAGCTTAATACAATGACAGGAGATCATTCTGAATTGACAAGCTGAGTGGTACAACTCATATTTGCTAAAAGTAAAAACATGTCCTCTATTAATTTCATTTGAATGAATATGAAGTAATAGAGAAAAAATAAACAGAGTAATAGAAGTATTGCATCCAGTGCCTTTATGTGCTTTATGAGCCCACGTGGTCAAATAGATCATATGTCTTTTCTAACATGAAACCATCGCCTACATTGTATTATTTTTAAATGCAATAGGAAGTGAAATGACCTCATAGCTGTTTTGGCTTGTAGCTGCACAGTGGGGAAACGTATCTCTGGGTGTTTCCTCTGCCTTCTCTTGTCCAGGCTAAAACCTGAAAGACAGGCATTCCATCTATTTTCACAATCTTTGTCTTGAATAAATCAAACAATTAAACAGAATTTTTGGGGAAATAACGTTTTGTTGTAATTTTCTCTTGCTCTTGCTGGATTGGCTGAATGCGTAGTTTTCATGTTTTCATGTTTTGTGTTTTTTACGTCTTTTCATCATAACTGAGTGTTTTACGTCATACATTGGTAAAACTATTAATAATGACTGTCAAAATTCTAAAAGGTTTTATCATGCTCTGTTATCACTTAAAATGTGTCTTCTTATTTTATGCAAATATATTAGATTATACATGTAGTGTCTCACAAGTCCTGTTGTGAATATCTGCTCACTGAAATAAAACAAAAGAAAGCCAACACCCTGGTTGAGTGGTTTCCGCCCATATAGCTCACGGTGGAGTTCAGCTATAGATTCAATGTTTTCCCTCTGGGAAAACAGCTTTAACTTTACTCCTGCCACAACATGTTTTTCACGTTGGGACACTGCTTTGTATTTTTCAGGACTATTGGTATGTGGCACAGCACCTCTGTTGAGCAACTTTTAGATGATTAGTTGTGCCTTTTTACAGTTTTTGCTTTTATATAATACTTACTAATTTGTAGCTATGACATGCTCATTGTTTCCACCCAAAACCTCATTGTTGTTGTTACCAGAACAATTGATTCATAATAACCTGAGAAACATTTTTTGCTATAAAAACTTCCTATATGCAAACGAGTTATAAATGAAACATGTATTCCATTTTGACCTTGTGTAAAACTAGAGGCTTCAACAAAATAGTTCAAAACTCCACACACGGTTTCTGTCTGTCGTCTTTTTCACAGACATTGTGGGAAAAAAGTACTGTGAGAAAGGTAGACAAAAGATGGGGGTGTGTAAACTGGCTGAGCAAGTGACACAAAGAACACCCCACAAACAAGCTCTGAGCTATATTTAAGATTTGTAACCAGGAGGGGATATCCACCACTGAATTTGTCAAACTCTGTGTGAGCAGAACTGTGGAAATATCTGTAAATTTGAGCTGATATGCATAAAAAGTTGTAAAAGAACATCAGTGTTGTTTAAAATGTAAAGCATTGAAAAAAAAGATTAAACAAGGACAATGGAAAAAGTAAATGAAAGCAAAAATCTGTGAACTTTTTTGTTCTTTGAGGCCACTTAATTGCAAGTTTGAGTTTTGGACAACAAAATACGACTCATCTTAAGACTCAGAAAAAAAAACAAGTCTTGCCACTCGAACATACAGTGTTCATTTTGAGGAAAACATTTTAAATGTCAGAGTAAATGCAAACACCTTAATAAAATCTGCTAGGAAAAGAAATTATGAGGGCATCTCATACATGGAACCTTCAAAATGTAATTCCACAGACTTTTAAGTTGTTGACCGAGCTGGTATGTCCAGCTGTTCGTGATTCTCTTATCTCAGGCCCCAGTTCCACTTAAAGAGAAGCAGACTTTAACCTCGAAACTGGCATCACAATGCCTCAAAAGTCTCAGGTACAGATCAGACGCTGGCCTGACCAGTCTTTCAAAAATATGTTCATTTCAGTCTTGTTTTTTCGTTGCTTCTTGCTCTGAGTCTGATGTGCTTCCAGTCCCCAGTGAGGTTAACTGTCATTGCATCATCTTATATATTACATAAAACATCAATGGTTCAGTGCACACCTTCACTGAAGCAAGAAATGCAAGGGTGGAGGCTTTCAGATGCAGGGACATGTGTAACAGACATCTTCAAGCTGCTCATCTCAAGCTATCAGTAGTTATC